GAAGACTAACTCTGCGATCCTCTCAACCACCTATCTTTGCATTTACCACAATAAATGTGCCGTGGTTTTGTAAACTCGTGTATGTCTCCTTGTCTTTCCGTTGTGGCCTACGAGCTACTCTCATAACAAAGAGTAAGTTATTTTTACCCGTTATAAACTACTACTGTTTGATGAGAAATCAAATCATGGTTTGCTATATATGAATTCAGGGAAGAAAGGATAGGCCTACTAAGTATTTCCATTAAACTTTATTTTTAGAAATGTACAAAATGAACATAAATATACATATATACACGGTATATCATCCATTCCTCCTCCTCTTGCCTGCGCACAGCCGGTGCGGTGCGGTGCCTTTTAGCACGAGGCCTCAGTAGTAGTAGAATCCCTTCCCCGTCATGGATTGTCCGCCAGGATCTGGCTGGACGAAATCAAATGCAAATCACAAAATATTAGAGAAACTTAGTTGTTTTAGATTCGTTAGTAGTAGTTGTGTAATGAACAGCTTGCCTGCTAATATGCTAACCTAGCTTTGTTTACCTTGGTAGCTAACACGATATGAACGTTAGCTTGGAGGAAAGGCAACTATAATGCAGTGTAATAAAACTACTATGAACAAAAGCTAGTGGTTCATATTAGGCTAGCAATAACGTGTTTATAATTGCAATCGTATACGGGTATTCTGCTACCATACAATGTAACTTGCATGAATACATTGTTTTGCGCTAGCATACAGCTAGCCTCGTTAGCTACATGCAGTATATGTACGGTCACAATGTACGGTAAACCGGAGTATACTGTATGAGTATTCCGTGTGTGTGACTGCAGACATTCTCCTGCCATGACAAACATGTAAGGCCATCTGCTGACATTGTAGTTGATATATTTAAACGCTAGCAACGTAGCATCACAAAAATGTTTTTCTGACCAAAACTAGCTCAAGCTCCGTGTGTTAGATCGCTACGCCAGCTATAATGTAATTACGTTTCGCGACTGACCGGCAAATCACCCGCAGTATACTGTCAATAGGTATTTTGTGTGTGAATGCAGACATTCTCCTGCTATGAGATACATGTATGCAAGGCCATCTGCTGATATTAGAGTTGATATATGGAAACTCTAGCAACTTAGTTAGCACAATTAGCACTGTGTCAATGGCTTAGCAGTCCAACACAGTTTACACATTTAAACAGTCTTGTTTGATAAATACACAAATAACAATGCAAACTTACAGGTTGTATACCCAGATCTTCCCCTGCTCCAAACGGTCCAAACAAGCTGTGCATATCCGGCCTCAAACTGGGCAATGTTTTTGGAAGCTTTCGTCTGTGAAATGCCGGTTCTTCGAACCTCTGGAGGAGGAACACGCCGCTGCTGGTGTGGCCATAGCTCTTCGGGATTGGTCCATTTCGTTCCGGGTACCGCATGACATCAGGCGGTACCCGGAACTAAATGGAAGACTCAAATGGGCAGTGACGTATCTCCAACGAGGCGTTTTGGGGAGGTATTTTCTGTGTTAGAGTTTTACTCGCTACAGAGTGTACTTTGAGGGTTTTGACTCTGCACACCGTTTACATGCATAAAAACCTTCATAACACACAAGGGGACGGGTAATAACCGGAAAAGCATGACATGGGAGCTTTAAAGTCAGATCCACTCGTGTCTTGGACGGTGCAGTGATTTCATAAACCTGTTAATGTACGCATTCAAACACTTTTTCTTTTACCAGCTGTATTCACCTTGCAGGTGCAGCTATGTGGCTTTTATCCTGGATAAAGTGTTTAAGTCATGGATGTTTAAAGTTTAACTTCTTCATATTTGATTAATATTAAAGTTCACTTTTCATTCAGGAAGTATGACGCTGCGCTGTCACTGCGCTTGTCCATGTTTGAGATTGGTCGAATGCTCCAAATACCACCCCTTTCATGTGAACGCGCACCTAATTAGATAGGACACGACTGGCTTGAGCGATCCACTTGATAACCAGCGTCGTAGGACCGCTTAGCGAGAGCGCGTATGTTTTGGATTAGGCCAACCGGCTAACTCAAACATATCCAGGTTAGGTTGAAACAGCTTCGTAGTACAGGCCTCTGTAGTTCACACGCACACACGCACATACACACAATCTGCTCCCTGTGTTTATCTTTGTGTTGTTGTTGTTCAGCAATCAGCGTTACTTATTGATGTTCTGTCAGTCATAAAGTGGCTGTGTATTTTCAAATTCTAGCAATCTCGAGCCGGTTTCTCCAAAATTACCTACCTCACCTTTAATACGAGCTGAAGAGATTGTTGCTGTTTTGATCGTTGTCATCAAATATGTCAGTAAATACCCCACAGGTGTCAGAATTTTGCAAGTTTGGAAAACACTTACTGTACGTTAGCTATTTTGTTATTCAAATTCACTAAAACAGTGAATACCTAAGTCTAGTTAAGTAGTAGATGGTATGATTTAGTTTTCCTTTCAGAAATATGAAAACAGTTTTTAAATGTATTAAACTTGCACCTACACTGGGTTTCACAAAGTCTGATAAACGGTCACACACATTTCCTATCTGTAAATGGGACACTGAAGTTAGAAGCTACGACTGACTCATTTTGACCCTGTTTGTATCAGAATAGATATGAAGCAAGTTAATACCTTGCATCTGCAATGACGTCAAAGGTTTACAATTACTGTACACCCCAGATATTCCTACCAAAAACATCAAATCATACGTCATATCTAATAGAATGTAACTCCACAGGTTTCTTTCCCTAGTGGAAACCGTAAAGTATGAATCAGCTATTAAAGGGGTGGCCACATCTTACACATATGGGAAAAAACATTACACATACGAATCATTTATGTCTTTGTTACAAAGCATGGCATCAGAAACGTCACACAATATTCAATGACAAATAAAAACATGCATGTGTTAGATGTAAATTGAAAAAAAGAGACCATGTATAAAACACATTTGTGTGGCTCAGATTTCTGCAGCTACCAAGGACAATGTGAAGGTAACGAGTCTCAAAGATACTACATGTTAAAGATAAAAGAGGACCAGCCCCTTGTTGTTTCCAATAAGACTGTATGAAACCTAAAGAGTATAATATATATAACTCTGGTGTAATTCAGACCAAAGAAAAAAGAAAAACACCTTTAAAACATCTGGCTGTTCTCATTCTCTCCTGAAAGTATGGAAATTCTAACATTTTCTTCTAATACGTACACAAGAGCTAAACAAAGAAAAAACAGAGCATAATCTGTGCAATGACAAAAAAGCTCGGTGCAGTCAAATCCAATCATCCGAATAGAATGTTAAGCAACAGGTTTCTCCTAGATATAAAAAGTGGTTGAATGAGCTTTTAAAAGGGATGGCCACACCTCACATAGAGCAGATACACATTACTCCTCAGATCATCTACGACTCTTTTCAGAGCCCTGCTTTGTGTGGATATAATGAAAAAAACATGTTTAATATATTTGTGTTGACCAACCTATAATCATTTTGCTAAACAATGGCTATACAACTTTATCTTAATTCAATATGTAATCAGTGTACTGGAGGCACACAATATGTTTACTTTAGCCATAATGACTTGTCCTGGACTGCAAAAGCTTTTCAGCATGTATTGTGCTCCACTACATTTATTCAACACTCATATTACCTTTTACATATAGAAACACACAATAATATAATAAGCTAAATAAGTTAAATAAGCTAAGTTAAGTATGATGCAGAACTGTACTAGTAATCAAACCAGTATTTAACAAGTATATAAAATGTACTACATTATAATAATATAATAGTGTCAAAAGAGCCATTCTGCATACTGAGTACTTTATCTTTTGATATATTAAGTACATTGTAACCCTTTTAGTGATAATACTTTTGTACTTCGACTTAAGTAACATTTTCAACTTAGGACTTTTACTTCATAATGGAATTGTATTACTTAGGTAAAGGATCAAATGGTTTTTCCAATAATGCTGTAGAAAGTATAATTTATTCAACTCCAGACCAAATAAACTGATGAGACCTTTAAAACATTTGGCTGTCCTGATTAGAGTTAATCCCTTCTGTCGTGAACGTGTGAAACTTCTTATCTCTTCTTCTTATACATAAACAAATAAGAATTCAACAAAAACAAACTGCACGAAAATAAACAGTGTTACGATGACACCACAGATTTCCCCACATAAATAAGTACATGTCCTGTCTAAGAACAATGTCACTTGACAGGTTTCTCTAAATATATGAAACCTAAAAAGTAGCATGCATGAACTATTAAAGGTATGGCAACACCTTGGAGGGGATAAGCATTACTCATCAGATCATCTACGTCTCCGTTCACCGCCTGATGTCATCTCACCTGCTTTGTGAGGATATAAAAGCTGCTGTGTGTTCATCAGAGATCATCAAGCAGCAGAGGATAGAGAACAGCTGATCAGAGAAGATCCTTCATCGCTGCAGAGAACACACCCGAACACCTCACAATAATCTGTAAGTGTTTAATGCTGAATTTATTATTTATTTACTGAAAAACTGAAACGATGACTTTAATTAAATCTATCATGTCAAAAGATTTCACATGACTGTATTAGGTTGGTTGAAAGCAATAATATAACGTTTACATTACATTACATTACATTTCATTTAGCTGACGCTTTTATCCAAAGCGACTTACAATGACCAATTACAGGGACATTCTCCCTGGAGTAACTAAGGGCTAAGTGCCTTACTCAAGGGCACTCTAGTGGTGGTGTTCCAGGTGGGATTTGAACTCACAACCTTCCGATCTTTAGGTACAATTAAGTAAAAATTGGTTTGGTTCAACATGATATTTTACTTTATTGGAACTAACCTAATACAGTTGTGTGGAATTTAGCATTTTAGAATAGGACTCTGAATATAAGAAGAGACAATAACAAATGTAGTTAATGAAGCAAGTAGTTGTCTTTACGTAACTGAATCTAACTAAAAACATGTCTTTTTTTGACAGCATAACACTTTGCCATAATGATGATGATGATGAAGATCTGTGTCGTCTTTCTGCTGTGTGTTGGTAAGTTTGAGTATTAACCCACAGAAATTCACAAACAATGAGTTTAAAATGAAGAATCACAATCTGAATGTTATACTGATCATCCAAACCATTTCAACAGCCTCAGTGGCCCCTGCAGGAGTTAGCACAATGGCCCCTGCAGCAGTTACCACAGTGGCCCCTGCAGCAGTTACCACAGTGGCCCCTGCAGCAGTTACCACAGTGGCCCCTGCAGCAGTTACCACAGTAGCCCCTGCAGCAGTTACCACAATGGCCCCTGCAACAGTTACCACAATGGCCCCTGCAGCAGTTACCACAGTGGCCCCTGCAGCAGTTACCACAATGGCCCCTGCAGCAGTTACCACAGTGGCCCCTGCAGCAGTTACCACAATGGCCCCTGCAGCAGTTACCACAATGGCCCCTGCAACAGTTACCACAATGGCCCCTGCAGCAGTTACCACAATGGCCCCTGTAACAGTTACCACAATGGCCCCTGCAGCAGTTACCACAATGGCCCCTGCAGCAGTTACCACAATGGCCCCTGCAACAGTTACCACAATGGCCCCTGCAGCAGTTACCACAGTGGCCCCTGCAGCAGTTACCACAATGGCCCCTGCAACAGTTACCACAATGGCCCCTGCAGCAGTTACCACAATGGCCCCTGCAGCAGTTACCACAATGGCCCCTGCAGCAAAGACCACATTAACCCCTGCAGCAAAGACCACATTGGCCCCTGCCAAAACAACAATGGCTCCAGTCAAAACCACAGTGGCCCCAGGAGCGATCCCTGTGCCCCCTGCAGCTACCACGGCGGCCTCCTCTGCAGCGGTCATCAGAACCTGCTTCCTGTCAGTGGTTGCAGCTCTCACTGCGGTCATTTTTAGTTAAGAACTGGAACAAGAGACTCAAAACACACACTGTGTATTTATGAAGGATTTAACTTAACCTGTAATGTATTTATTCATTGTTTCATAATTTATCATGTATACTATATACCTAAGTTGGATGTCTTGCATTTGAGCATTCTTTGACTGATCTTGTCTCCAAACACACATGTATTTTTATAACAGATCTTATTATGCACTGATTGACTTTATGTATATCTGTATGATATGATAAGACACACATTTTTCTGACTGTTAACATTGACAAAGAACTATATGAGCCACACAGGGAGTGGATTGACAGCTAGTTTAATCAAAGAGATATTGATGTTCAGTTTTTCTTGTATTCCATTATGTTACACTATGTGGAATGTTCTGAATGGAGACACTTTGCTGCACATGTGGTGACTGTTCTGTTGTCTCGTCTGAATTATGATATGCATTTAACACTAAAAGCGCATGTAAAGTATTAAAGTTTTAAATTCAAAGAACGGAAGTGTACCTCTTTTTTTTAATGCAGGATGATAGTTGTTTGTCATAAAAAAAAGTGTGTTGTAACCTGTATAAATGACATTGCGTGAAACACTTGATATGTTTTAGTTTAGGCTACAGAGAAGTGTCATGAACAGATTGTCTCCATTGTCTGACAGATCTATAAGTAACTATACCTGTCTGCGGTTTGACAAGTTCCAGTTACCTCATTATGCACACATGCCATACATAATGTCTTACTAATAAATCATTTGAAAGAGCTTTGAAACCTTAAAACAACAAAAACATGTTAGGTTTATTGGAAATGTTACCAATAGATGTGTTTTACTGTAATAGACATTTCCATGTATTTGTATTCTGCCTACTCAAGTGTCTTTTAAATGAGTGTGAAAGTCTTCTTTCCTATATAGCACAACAATATGTTTATTTTACACCTATCCGTGTAGCTGTGTAAAGCAGACAGTTGTTTTTATTGAACTGTTGGCTGTCTCAAGGTCGCAGGTATTTTAACGGCTCCACGTAGACCAGATACAACACAAGCACTCTTCAATCAGACTTAGCTGACTCTGCTGTGAACATGTAATTCTTGTTTGTTTGGATCCTTTTTTTGTCCAGAGAAAAGCTTATTAAATATTCAAAGACACTCTCTGGACTCAAACATTTATTTTGCAAAGATATTTCCACGACATAGGTTTATGAGTTTGTGATGATAATCAAACGCTGAAAGAAAACCTTTTGCTTTTGGCTAAAATATAAAACTATATCAACAAAATCACCCGCTACATCTAGAACATGTGAGTGATACAAGATCAATCTTTATTGTACCACAGGGTGGGGACATATGTCTTGGGCTGATGATTCAGCCATAAAAAATAAACAATTTGTGGTTACGTAACCTGCCCAAGGACACTTGTTGACTGTAAGAGCTGGGGGTCAAACTACAGACCCCCAGTAGACATAGTCTCTGCACATGTTTCATAGACTCCTACATATTTGGATTATAACCATCTGGCCATCAGAGAGAATACAAGGTCCTTACGCAATGGTTTCCCTTTTAAGGCCCAGAGGCTGCCATTTTGTGTGTCTATTTAACCGAGGGCGGGGTTGAGCCACACACACACTTTATGCCACAATGGATAAGATAAGGTCTGTGCTTTCACACAATATATGGCAGGGTGGGGTAGAGGTGTGGTGGTGTATATATGTAAGCTGATCATAGACTGTATATATAAATGGACGTAGGGTCCGTGACGTCACCCATAGGATTCTGCAGAGTTGCCGAGAAGCCCTTAGTAGGCGGAGTCGGCCACTAACGGCTCGACAGTGACGTCTGAGTCTAACTCCCGCCTGCTCCAGCCTGCTCCAAATAAGGGCAAAGAGGCGGAGCCGAGGCGGGACCTTCTGCCTCCAGCTGGGAAGTAACAGAGCTAGCTCAAGCTAAGAAGCTAAGCTAACATGCTTCCCCATCAGCACACTGCCGTCACATTTTACGTTTCTAAGGTAAGCGGACATGAAACTATTCAGCAAAACTATAAATAATAATCTAAGTTATTGAGTTTTTAGCATAATACTTCAGAATCTTAAAATCCCTTAACGTTTGTATGCAATGTGCTAAATGCAACACTGGAATCAAGCAAATATTAATATGTTTGCATGACATTAGTTATTTATAATTTGCTATCACTTAATTATACGTTTAATACATTTAAGTTAAACTAAGGTGCATGTGATGGTAGCTAGTTAGTGCTCTTACCTGTGAGGCCTCCTCCAAACCGCATTATAACCAGACTGTATCATTAAAACTATAAGTACCAGTTCTAGATCCTTGACTTTAGACAAACAATACAAAAGACAAAATGTATTTAAAGACCAATCTTTATTTGAAGGTGCCTCTTAACCTGGGATATTAGTTATACAGTAATAGTATTGACAATCTAAAAAAACTGAGCAACTCAACAGTCAACTTTATATTTCTTATTGTCTAAAGCATTTATTATTTTCATTTTCCCCTCTCATATTCAGTGTGGACGGATTGAGACAGCGTGGTGTCCAGAGAGCTGCAGAGACTTCAGGGAGAAACCTCCGTGTGATGGACGTCCTGTCTGTTGGTTTGGAGAGGACTGAGGGTCTTTCCTCTGTGAGGAGGATCAGGCCTGATGGAGGAGCCCATGCATAGCTGATACCACCTGATCAGGCCTTGTCTGTCACTTTATTTGACTAAATGTGTTTACTTATACATTTAATAGGTTTACACCTTCTGTCCATATGTGCTTTTTTATTTAAAACATGTTTGATTAACTTTTGGTTCAGATTTCAATAAATTGAATTTGTATTTGCACTCCTTTTGTCCATTATTCTTACTGAAAATGTTAGATTACACATTCACATCCGACTGAAGATTGGCCCCATTTATTTGCGTTGCAAACTCTGCGGTACAAGGTACATGTTGTGAAGCTCATAAAGTGAGGCAAATAGAATTAATCAGCTGATGGAGTGTAGATGTGGAAATAGGTGCATTCGATCAGCTGACTTCACAATAAAAGTAGTTTCTTAGTGAATGTCCTGTACTGGTCTTAAAATCTCATAACATCAGCTTTTAATTTTCCTCTTGGATGTTCTTCTTGACCCTCAGAGAAGGAGAACATGTTGAGTCGTGTCTTTCAGGCATGTCCTTTCCTAACAAAAATTACAGGAAACATAAAGCATATTATTGCAGAACAAGTGTGTTATTTATGAAAGAGGTGTGTTTGTGTTTAGGGGCTGTAGATATAATTATTTTGTAATTGTAATGTTTTATTTTATTTCAACAGTGAGCTACAAAGACAATCAGATTATGAATGAACAGTATGAAATTCATCAACATTGAAATATATTTTATTATCAAAATAATATTGAACTGTTATCAAAACTTAGTGCAACTGTAGAAGCTTGCTCTGTTCTCTCACTGAAATCATAACTTTTACCACGTTTTTTACAGACAATATTGAGAGATAAATAGTAGCAGTTCTCACTAATAGCTTTGCCTTCAATACCTTAAATTAGAAAGCTGACTTGCTTGTTAACATCTAAATGTAACCCTTTGCATGGAAAAAACCCTCAACTTCACTGATGTGTAGGTGATCTAGTATTTAGTATTGTTTAATGGAATGTATATCAGTGTATTAAAGTCAATACTTCATTTATTTAAACCAATATCTTTCTTGATTCTTTGTACAGTATGAAAAAAGAGTATTTGTACCTGTGCTGAAGTTCACTGCTGTGAGGAGTCCAGTTCTGTCTCTCACTCTCTGGTCCATCCTGTCTGCATCACCTGGAAACTTTAAACAAACAGATATATATGTAAAGAACCATGTGTACAAACAATATAACTTATTCTCTTCTGTTGAACATGTTGGATTGTGTATTGTCCGAGTCAGGGTTCTTTTTATTTTACTGTAACTTTGGAAGTTGTGTTACCAATGCTGTTGTGTTACTGTTTATTTGATACCAATTTGGTAATGCAATTAATAAAAACAACAACGTTTGGGTTCGTTCTTCAGATGACTGTGACGTTAACGTGTAAGCTCAATAATGAACTCCAGCTCAACCAACCATATTGTAATATCTAAGTAATCATCTTGAAAATATGACATTAATAATTGTAATATACACACATCTTATTGTGAGGTTGATTTCACATACACTACTTCGACGTTAGCTTGTCTACATACTTGAGCATAGCTACCACTCGCTTACACGCAAACCCAAGCCTTAACATTCATTACGTATCATAAACACATAAATAAAGTACTCGAATTTCACTTACCGCAAAACGGCATTCATGCACCGTCTGTTTTAACCGCAGAGCGAGTCACAATAGTCCGATATATAAGCATGAAGAACAAACAAACACGGCCGGGATCAAGTTGTGTTCCCTGGATGAACTGACCAGGCACAGTCCCTGTAGCTTCACGGACGGAGCAGCTAGCAGAGAGACAAAAAGCTAACAGCAGCAGTCACCTGACAGAGCTGTCACTCAATGTGACCACGCCCTAATTTATGCAAAAACTTTAAGACCTAATATAAATAAAAGGGTCGCGTTAGAAAACAATTCACTCACAGATTCATAATCACGAAGGTGGAATCTAACTATATACATAATAAAATGTATTGGAGCCAGGGCTAGAAACGTTTTTTTTCTGCTGTGAAAATGGGCATTTTAACATTGGGGTCTATGGAAATTGCTCCTTTCTGCAGTCATCGCCTATCGGCCAATATATGAACTGCAGTTTGTGGCACTTCCGTATTGGCGTCCCGGCTCTTCCCCAGAGTTTGCCGCTTGAAGCTGATACATAACTGTTTATGTATGTTGAACATTACATTTGATTCCTCTGAGTCACTGCTCTGTCCCTGTAACGCTGTTCCCTCACTTCATTCAAATATCTGGTTGAGCGTGGAAGGAGGGCCAACTTTGAATGTTATTAGGAGCCACTGACAAATTCCTCAAGTCTACCTTTAATTACATCCTAGTAGACGCCCATTTAACCCCCAAAGCACAGCCACCCCTTTAAAAACCTTTAATTCTAAGCTAAAGATATACTGATTTGAGATTTTTTATATTATCACTCACAATTCTGAATCTTGACAGAAACTGAACAAGGGAAGAGGAAACTGTCATCCCATTTTAAGTTTTGCCTGCAGATTTCAGTAAGGAAGTACATTTGAAATATTCTGATGACTCAAATAATACCCAGTACAATAGTAACAAAGAACAGTAATCAAAGCTGACAAACTCAAGATCCCGGTCCCTCAGTTAAAATGTCAAATGTCATATCAGAAAATTGTTACAGTATTTGTAAGATATGTTAAGGCATTATGACTAACTTGGTAGTTTGGGGATGGTGTCTGTGTGATTAAACCAGTGTTTCAAGTGGGGGGCGCAGAGGCATGACAGGAGAGACCAGGAGGAAAAATGGTTATTAATTTTAAAAAAACGTTTAAAAGATTAAAA